TCGGGTACAAGTGCTCACTGCTGATCGGCTGACTGTATGAAAGACTAGCCCCTGGTGAGACCTGGAGCTGTCCTTGGAGCTACGGCATCGCTGACCATCAGACACACTGCTCTCCCCCTCCAGGCTACAGGTCGCTTTAAGCTCTGAGGTGGCAGTCATTGCTTGCAGGGTGCCATTTTCTGGTCCATTACAATAGTAACACAGATCGTAGAAACCTAGAAAGCAAATTAGAACAGCGCCACCGACCGAGATTGTAAAACAAGGACTTTTGCCTTCCATCTGTTTGATCCTCTCCAGCCAGGACGAATGAACCTGCAGCAGATACCTTGCTAAATGCCTCGCAGGTAGCGGGGCACCAAGGGACCGGATGTGAGGAAACGGAAGCAAGGAAGCGGAAGTGGGCAACGGCGTGGGCGCTTGGGTCTCTTTGAGAAGGCCGGTGAGCCTGGGGGATTGATTTTGATGGGAGTGAGATGCTCAGGTAGGTGGCTGGAAGGGCCCATCGGGTTGTAACCCCAGTGCGGCGCAGAATGGATGGAGGGCAGCAGCGGCCTTCCCTGCCTGACTTGCCGGTTGTCACCCTTCAGCCTAGGCACAGGACAGGCAGGCCGGCTGCTACTGGATGCCATGCAGCCCCGCCCTCTCTCCAGAAGTTTCCTCAGTGAAATTTCCCACCTGAGGAAACAGTGTCCTTTTTTGCGCAGTCTGGGTCTCTTGTGTTTTAGTGACCTGGTGCGCTCTTCTGAACCCCGCTTTTGAAAAACTGAAAAAAGGGGCCCAGGAAAGACCCTGTCTAGCAGAAGCCGACTCTCAGTCTCTACCCTCCATTTTTCAGAATTCTCTTCAAATCCCTTGCCTTTCTTCCTTGCCCAAGCCCTATGCAGCATTTTATTTATTTGTTTGTTTGTTTGTTTTAATGCTGTAGATGAGGGAATAGAGACTCAGAGCCGTACCGTTGGATCCTAAATTCACCGACTTGACGCCTGTCAAAGCCGTGGCGTAGCCATCCCCTTGGTGGGGGGAACTGTGCAACTGTTTCCCTTACCCCACCTTGCCTAGGGTAGAGGTTGCCATATAATAATCTTTGGGAAAATCGCTGCGAAAAAGTTTCCCTGCCACATTCATTCCATTAAAACTGTAACCCCTTTCAAAGCCGCGGGATTCTCAGTAAAGGTTTGATTAACAATCCCCGCCACAGCCTGATTCCTCCTGAGCCAAACGCAAGCCTGTAGGCAGAACCTGAACACACAAGAACTGTGCTTTCCTTCCAGCGCTTTCTCAAATGCATCTTTCCCGAGATGCCTTTGGGCATTCGGTTTCTTAGATGTTGCTGTTTTAGTGCCTGGAGTCTGGATAATTCCTGTAGGTTTGGTTTTGTTTTGTTTGTTTCTGTTTGATTTTTTTTCTTTTTTAATTTTATGTGTATGGGTGTTTTCTCTTCATGGACATCTGTGCACCTCACATATACCCGAGGAATACTGCCAGATACACTGTCTGATCCCTTGGAACTGGAGTTACAGATAGTAATAGCCACCATGTAGGTGCTATGAGTAGAACCTGGGTCCTCTGGAAGAGCAGTAAATGCTCTTAGCCACTGAGCCATCTCTCCAACCTCTCTCTCTAGTTCTTCAATCCTTTAGTTTCCATTATAAAATCTTAGCAGTGAACTCTGAACTGAAATGAGGCCATTGATAACATCTCTGCCAAATATCTACAAGTTTTGTTGCAAATATGTTGGTGGGGCTTGTTGCTGTCATCCCTTCCCCTTACTGTGTGTGTTCTGTAATGTGTGGTGTAGACACTGCTGTGTCTTTCAAAACAGCAACAAAACTTCAGTTCCGCTGGTCTCAAGGAAATGGTGTGGGGTTGGGGACCACTGGCTTAACATCATCCAATAAATGCTCTCCTATCTCAATACTGATAAAATGGCAGGGAAGGAACAGTATTAGATTAAGTGGACAGATCCAAAAAGAAAACCAAGACACTTCTTCCAGGCCAGGCAAACACTGTTCACAAGCGCGCGCGCACACACACACACACACACACACACACACACACACACACACACGCAGACATACAAACACACAGACACAGGGGAAGAGAGACAGATTCAACTTAATCATATGTTTGCTTCAGAAATATTTACTCAAAGTTTTTATCTAAACAGGAAGTTCTTGACCATAGAGAACATGATTTTCATTTAAATCATATAAATGATTTAAATGAGAATCATATAAATGATTCTCAAGAGGTATTTGTTGCTCTGAAAATATTTGCTCAAATTCTAAACTTTTACATGTATGACAATTATAGAAGCTGGGTGTTTTTTTTTCTATTTATTTATCTATTTTTAATGTCACGCTTGAAATTGAAATCTGTAGAATCATTTCCAGATTATCCCAAAGCAGAATCATTTAGCCATTTGGTCGTTCAGTCCTCTCATAAGTCCTCGGTTCCCATTGTGATTGGGTGGGATTGGATTGGTAATCCTCAGATTTAGGATTGCTGTGGTAAATAAGACAGCCAGGCCAAGGTCTCCAGCCTTCAGGAGCTTCCAGTCTGGCGTTATTTGCCACAACCAAACAATAAGCAGTTAAGTACATGTTATTTTAAATGTTATGAAAGAAATTTTAAGTGCCAAGGAGGAAATCAGTTGTGGAAAAGAGTATGATGGGATGACCTTTATAGTGAGATAAGAGGTCAGAGGGATGATGAACCTGGTATCTGGATTGCCTTCTTCCCTCTTATTTCTCAGTGTGACATAGGTAGCCAGACAACTGAGAGTCAAGTGTGCAAACTTGCCTCCTTGCCACTGATTTTGTCTCAGATGCCATAAAGTCACAAGGTGCTTAATGACAGGGGCACATTTTGAGACGAGCACTATTAGGTCTACATAAACATAGGATGTGCTCACTCAAACTAAGGTGGCTATGATGTCACTAGGTGATGTGATTTTTGTCTGACCAGAGTCATGTATGATACCTTTGACTGAAGCATCTGTGCAGCACATGACTGTAATTACAATCTCCCGGTTACCTCAGGGTATAAGTAAACAGGGTTTCTCTATAGTTGAGTGTCGAAAACATAATAAGGTTATATCATTTACAACCAACACCAGTTACTGAATTCCTTGTGGTAGAATGGTGGCTTATTATAGGTTCATGTCACTCTATGTGAGTAAGTGATTAATGTACCTATCTAGACCTTTTTTCTTTTCGGCATTTGTAACAGTTGGGGGAGTATTTAGTTGTGGCATGGTATTGGGGACATGCACTTTAAACTATTTTGGGCTAGAAGGCTCTTAATTTTTTGTTTTCTGGGGGCAGAAAATGTGTTTAAGAAAACACTTCCAAAATTTAAGGATGTAGTTTAGAGAATATAGGAAAACCGAATAATGAACATGGTCTTTCTAAAATATAGATAGATATTTGTAAAAGCAAGAGATTTTTACGGACAGTCCAGCAAGCTGTAATTCTAAGACAGTTCTTTAGAAATAGAGTACTGAAGACAGATCAATATCTGTTATACTAGGCTGGTGTTACAGCACGGTTCTGCATTGAGTGAGTTTGGTAGAGGGGGGAAAGGATAGTAGAAATTGAAATTTTTAATAGCTTATTGAAACATTGTAAATCAGGTTTCTGTTGCAGAAGGAAGTGAGACAAAATGCTTGTATTCAGGGTGCAAATGAGGCAACCGAAAGTCACTGAAACACACTTCTCTTTTTCTTCCTAGGATACGGTCTCTTTCTGAGAAATCTTAATGAAATCGATTTTTCTATCTCATTTATTTGAGAGTTAGTTGGGTTTTAATCAAAAAGGGGAGGGGCAGAAGGCCTAATTATCTCCTGCTTTTTAAAAAGGTGATAGTTCATTTACCATGCATCTGAAAATTATGTCTTCCTTTGACACAAATTAATCAGGCATGAGCTAGGAGCCGAGGAGGCCAAGAAAACAAAACTAAAAATACCAAACAGTCATTATGTGTTTGGTTTTTTTTTTTTTTCTTTTATATGTGTGCAGCTTTGATAGTAAAATCTGATTATAGTTCATCTAGGCTTCGTTGGATCTGGATGCTCATCAGGGCTTGAAATCAATTTGGCACAGTGCCTTGGTAGCTGTTGGAGGTGAATCACCAGAGAAATTGCAAACCAAGTGACTCACCTTCCTGCAAAATAATGAAAAAGAGGAAGGGAATGGTTTCATGTAAATTATAAACTGATAATTCACAAGCATCTTTTAAATTCTTGGGGCTGCATACCCCTTGTATGTTTTAATGTGTTTTTATATTAACACAAATACCTTTGTTTTCTATGTATCTGGGAAGTTGTCAGACACATGTGGAATTCCTTACACTATATTGTTTAAATACCATTTTGACACTGTTGAGTGGCACATGCCTTTAATCCCAGCACTCAGGAGGCAGAGGCAGGTGGATCTCTGGGTTCGAGACCAACCTGGTCTACAGAGTGAGTTCCAGTACAGCCAGGGCTACACAGAGAAACCTTGTCTCAATGTCTCAAAACAAACGGAGGAAGAAAGGAAAGAAAGAAAAAAGATGTCAGAGTGCAAATTTCCCCTGTGTAAGCTTTCATACTTACTGTATTTCTTGCCAAAGGAATTGAGTGATATTTTCTGCAGAAATGTCTGGGAACATATCGGCTACCGACATTGCTTTGTATAATGGAGGTCAGTCTTGTGAGGGATTTTCCCATGCTCATCCAAGTACACCTATATAGTCCTTTCCTCCCTTTTAGCTGATGAAGTGACAGGTGACTTGGAAATCTAGATTTTTTTTTTTTTTTCTGACTAGGTCCTCTGCAGACAGATTTGTTTTGTTTTAAAGGAACTTACACATTTTTTGTACTTTTCTTGCAGGAAATCGATACTTTACCACATGGAGATGAATCATTTGTGTCTGAGAGCTGCAGAACCTGGGACAGATCTGTTAGGAGCCCTGTAAACCAGTCCTTCCTGTCCATCACCTTCAGACTCACCCTAGCTATGGCATTCAGGAGGCAAGTGAAGAACTTTGTGAAGAATTACTCAGAGGCTGAAATAAAAGTGAGGGAAGCAACTTCGAATGACCCCTGGGGTCCCTCCAGCTCTCTGATGCTGGCCATCAGTGACATGACCTTCAACGCCACCTCCCTCCTGGAGATCATGCACATGCTGTGGCAGCGACTCAGTGACCACGGGAAGAACTGGCGCCACGTGTACAAATCCCTTGCCCTCATGGACTACCTCATCAAGAACGGCTCCAAGAAAGTCATTCAGTACTGCAGAGAGGGCTTCTGTAACCTTCAGATGCTGAAAGATTTTCAACACATAGACGAAGCTGGAAAAGACCAAGGTAACAGTTGGTAAAAATTAGACAGTGCACCTGCCAACAAAGGCCCGAGGGCCAGAGTGTTTAAACCCCGAGCCAGGGCAGTTCTTGACTTGGAGACTGTCCTGTTGTATAGTGTAGGCTGTCCTGAGCTTGCCCGCCTGCCCTGCCCTCCCACGTGCTAGGATGACAGTGCACACCGTCCCCCTGGGCTGGCCACCTTTTTTCTCAGACAGCAGTGATTCTCTTCTTTACCCTCTGTGTTGACTGCGGCACTTGAGACAATAGTGTGTTTGTTTTCAAAAGAACATAGAACACACTTAGGGTCCGGATCCAGTGACTCCTCATAGGAAAGAAAGTACAGCAAAGGAAAAGAAGAGGCACAGCTGGGTGCGGTGGCACACACCTGTAACCCCAGCACTCAGAGGCAAAGGCAGGCGGATCGCTGTGAGTTCAAGGCCAGCCTGGTCTGCAGAGGAGTCCAGGACAGCCAAGGCTACACAGAGAAACCCTGTCTTGAAAAAAACAAAAACAAAACAGAAAAGAGGAGGCATAGCAGTTTGTATATTGATGTCACTATAATCCGTAATTATAATTAGTTTGGAATTCAGTCATAAATTAGAGAAATGTTTCTGGGAATTCTGGAAACTCCAAAGTCTATAGAGATGGAAAGACTTAAGAGAAGTACAGAAATTCAGGACATAAAACAATTCTGGGTGTGGAGAAGACACGACATAGAAAGGGCTGTGTAGAGTACTGACATGAATTGGTGTCAAATAATTTGCAAAGGTTAAGGTCAACATTCCTTTCCTTTATATTAGAAACACAGTTACAGTTTATGTATAAAGTGATAGGCTTTAAGTCATGGGAGAATAAAGTTTACCCTTTATGGTTACCGCATTTTAAAACTACATTTTAGAAAAATACAAAAATTATACAAAAAAACAATTTTTGTATATTTTTGTATATTATGTTTCCATGTGCCGTTCTCCACCCACCCACAGTGTCTCCAATTACTAACATCAGTGAGGGGCGTTTGCTCCGAATGGCAGCCAGTGTTGATGCCACTAACATTCACAGTTTATATGCAGCACTATTCTGTAGGTTTCAGAAGGATAAAGTGTCTGACATCCACCACTCTAGGGTCTTTCACTTCCCTAAGCATGCCTTGCTATGACCCACCTGCACCCCCTTGGCCCTGGGAGCCACTGGTCTTTATAGTTCTACCTTTTCCAGATGTCATGATGCTCTGAAGCCTCTGTAGACCGGTTGCTTTCCCTGGCAGAGCACCCCAAAGTTCCTCCAAATCCTTCCATAGCTTGAGAGCTAGTTTCTTTTTGGCTTCCCTCTTCACAAAAAGTTTTGATGAGGTGTAATTCACAATACCATACAGATTGCTCACTTGAATACACACACACACATATGTATATGTACAAGACTGTTTATATAAGGTATGATAATTATAAGGTTGTTTATTATAACTGTGATATCTATATCAACACTTGCCTTTTGTGTTCATTTATATTAATTTTTCGAGTCAGAATCTCATGTGGACTTGAGCTTATTAAGTAGCCGAGTTGATTGAGTTGACCTTGAACTCCTGATCTCCCTACCCCTACCTCCCAAGTGCTGGAATTAGTGGTATGTGCTACCAACATGCCACACTCATATTTACATTTGTAAGTGCACAGTTCGGTGGCGTGAATTACATTTACTGTGCTGTGAAGCCATCACCACTCTTGCTTAAACAGTTTTTAAAAAGCACACTGTCAACATTAAGCAATAACTTCTCATTCCCATTCCACTAAGCCTCTACTTTCTCTCTTAATTTGAAAGTCCCCTCATATATACATAGAATTTTACTATATTTTTTTCTTTTCCATCAGGCTTATTTCTGTTACTCTGTGGTCCTTGAGGCTCATCCATGTGGTAGGATTTATCAGAACTCCATGCTTTTATGGTTGAATAACATTTTATTTCCTGCATATTTAAGCAAATCGGTTCATTTGTTGATAGGTTGAGGGGGTGGTTCTACTTGTGAGCTCTTGTGAATAGTGCTGCAGTGAACATCTGTGTGCCAGTTCAGGCCTCTGCTCTCAGTCCTTTGAGGTGTATGGAAAACAGCCGAGTTGCTAGAACATGTGCTAATATCAGTGCTTGGCCTTTTGAGGATCTGCTGAGCCTGCTGGAGTGACCGAACCATCTCACATTCCTATTAGCAGTGTAAGAGGATTTCCTTTCTCCTGTGTCCTTGCTAACGCTTGTCATTGTATTCATCTTAAAGTAATCCTACTGGATATGAAGTTGGGTCTCGCTGTGCTTTTGATTTACATTTCCCTGAGAATCATGATCTCACCCATCATGTCCCTGCTGGAGATGCATCTGTTGTCTTTTAGAAATGTCTTTTCAAGTCCTTTGCCTATTTTCAAATGAGTCTTTTTATTGTTGCGTTTTGAAAGTTCTTTATATATTCTGGGTATAAGACCCTTACCAGACAGGTGGCTTGAAAGTACCTTCTGCTCTTCTGTAGGCTGTCTCTTTGCTTTCTGGATGTATCTGTCCTCCCATGCACAAAAGTTTATTGTTCTTTTTTAAAAAAGAGTCTTACAATGTATCTCTAGCTGGCCTGGAACTTTTTTGTGTACACCAAGCTGGCCTTGTACTCACAGAGATACATCTGCCTCTGCCTCCCTGGTGCTGGGATTAAAGATGTATACCACCACATCTTGCTAAAAGTTTTAAATTTTGATGAAGTCTAATGTATCTTTTCATTTCATTGTTTTACTTTATATATCATATATATAACAGATTATTATCAACTACAAGATCATGAACGTTTATGCATATATACATATATATGTTGTTTTGGTTTTTTTGAGACAGGATTTCCCTGTGTAGCCTTGGCTGTCCTGGTCTGGCTTTGTAGACTAGCTGGCCTTGAACCCCCAGAGATCCTCTTGCCTCTGCCTCCTTGAGTACTGGGACTAAAGGCGTGTGCCACCACACCCAGCTAATTTTGCCTATTATTTTCTTCTAAAAGCTTTGCATGTTAACTCTGTCTTAGGGTTTCTGTTGCTCTTGTGAAACATAGTGACCAAAAAGCAAGCTGAGGAAGAAATGGTTTATTCGGCTTACACTTCCATATCACTGTTGATCATTGAAGGAAGTCAGGATAGGAACTGAAACGGGATGGGAACCTAGAGGCAGGAGCTGACGCAGAGGCCATGGAGGGTGCTGCTTACTGGCTTGCCTCCCATGGCTTTCTCAGCCTGCTTTCTTATAGAACCCAAGGCCACCAGCCCAGGGATGGCACCACCTGCAATGGGCCAGGCCCTTCCTCATTAATCACTAATTAAGAAAATGCCGTGTAACTGGGTCTTCTGGAGGCATTTTCTCAATTGAAGTTTCCTCCTTTCAGGTAACTCTAGCTTTCGTCAAGTTGACATAAAACTAGCCAGCATAGTTTCTTATTCAGATCTTCGATTTCTGTATGATTTGAGATAGGGAGCCTACCTCAGATGCTTTTGCATATGGATGCCCAGTTAGTTCTTAACCACCTGTTGCAAGGAATGTTCTTCCCCGTTGAATTATACTGGCTCCTTTGACAAGTCATTCTGTACTCTAATCTGTGTCCTTATAGGTGTGTGTATCTTTTCATATGCCAGCATACTGCCCTATCTTTGCAGTAATACTTGAAATCAAGGAGTATGAGTACTTAAACTCATTCTTCCTTTTTTAATAGCACTTTATTTATTCCTGATCCCTTGCATTTCCTTGTGGATTTAGTGTTAACTTACCAGTTTCTGTTCAAACAAATGGCAGATAAAATTTTGATTGGGGTTGCATTGGCTCTCTAGACAAATTTGGAGAGCGTTGCTCTCATATTATAATTTTTTTTCTTCTTTTTAAACTTTTTTTTAACTTTTTGAAATTATAATTATATCATTCTCTTTCTACATACTCCTACCTTGCTCTTTAAAATTTATGGCCTCTTCTTCTTTAATTGTTGATATATATACATACATATATATTCCTAAATATATATATTATTAAATACACAAATACAACCTGATCAGTCTATTGGTATTGTCCATATTCAGATCTTGTTTAGGCAGCCATGTTGATAGCTTTCATGGATATAGCTTCTGATAGTTCTAGGAGACATATCTCACAGCAAACTTCCCATTCCCCTGGCTCTCACAATCTTTCTGACCCTTCTTCTTCTGTTAGGACCCTGAGCCTTAGGTCCGGGAGTTGTGTTATAGATGTACCAGCAGGACTGGGCTCCACAGCTCTGCATTTTGATTGGTGTGGTTCTGCAATGGTTTCCCTCTGTTGTGAGGAGAAGTTTCCGTGATGAGGGGTGAGAGCTACACTTAGCTGTGGGTGTGAAGGTAAATATTTCAAATATAGTTAGGGATTATATTGGTTTAATAAAATGGCAGTCATAGGTTCTCCTCCAAGATCCGTGACTTCACCGGCCTTGAGTAGTTGGCTAGGATTTCAGAACCAGGCACAAGTTCCTTCTTGTCGAGCAGGGCTTAAGCCCAATTAGAAGACTGTTGTTTGCTGCCACAATTTGCATGCCAGGACTGCACCCTTAGTGTTACTGTTCCATGTGGTCGTTGATGTGGGTCACAGGCAGCGTAGCTGGGTAGCACTGTCGGTTGTTTCCCTCCTTTGGAAGCTGCATGGCACCTTCTGGTACCATGAAAGCCAGTCTTCCGGGAGGAAGCTTTCAGATCAGAGTCTGCTCAGGTCCTCTGGGGTTGGCAACCAAGGGCAGCAGCAATAGCCTGACATATTTTGTGTTTGGGGAATCTCTTGGACAACCCTGACCAACAACTCAAAAGAAAGCTTGTCATGCCTGGTTGTTGTGTTAGATAGTCTATAGTTCTTGACAGGGAGTACTTTCAGCCAAAATTAGAAATTTTCATTTAAACTATATGCATATATTTGTATACTAACTTACATGTGTTATATGTATCTTTAGGTAAATTGGTAATAGTATGTGCTGGTTATAA